ATGTCTGGTCCATACTGGTCCATACATATTTGGCTGAAGTTATAGTATCTATAATGTACTTGTAGTGATAAGTTTGAAGTAATGTTGACACCTTGACCTTCCTCCTGGCATGTTGTCTGCACCGTCTTCCTCTGTGTAATTATTTTGCAGTGGTTAACACTGGCCGTCTCTGTATTTATTTCAAGTGATTTTGGAGTCATTCACTGTCATCTCCGGTTGTTGTCATCCTCGTGGAAATCACATCAACAAATTGTGATTCATATGAATCAATGTTCTCTGGTAAGTCTTTTCGTATATCAGAAACAGCAGGGGCCCCAAGGACTGATCCTTGGGGGACCTCACTCGCCACCCATGCCCACTCCAGTACCTTATATATAATATATATATATATATATATATATATATATATATATATATATATATATATATATATATATATATATATATATATATATGCAATAAGATCACAGTAAACAGGTGATTTCAGAATATGCAAACAACCACTCTGAAAGAATAGAGAAATTCCAAGCGCTTTCGTGACTACTCACATTATCAAGGAACTATAGTTCCTTGATAATGTGAGTAGTCACGAAAGCGCTTGGAATTTCTCTATTCTTTCAGAGTGGTTGTTTTGCATATATATATATATATATATATATATATATATTATATATATATATATATATATATATATATATATATTATATATATATACATATATATATATATATATATATATATATATATATATATATATATATATATATATATATATATATATATATATATATATTTTATTATCACACTGGCCGATTCCCACCAAGGCAGGGTGGCCCGAAAAAGAAAAACTTTCACCATCATTCACTCCATCACTGTCTTGCCAGAAGGGTGCTTTACACTACAGTTTTTAAACTGTAACATTAACACCCCTCCTTCAGAGTGCAGGCACTGTACTTCCCATCTCCAGGACTCAAGTCCGGCCTGCCGGTTTCCCTGAACCACTTCATAAATGTTACTTTGCTCACACTCCAACAGCACGTCAAGTATTAAAAACCATTTGTCTCCATTCACTCCTATCAAACACGCTCACGCATGCCTGCTGGAAGTCCAAGCCCCTCGCACACAAAACCTCCTTTACCCCCTCTCTCCAACCTTTCCTAGGCCGACCCCTACCCCGCCTTCCTTCCACTACAGACTGATACACTCTTGAAGTCATTCTGCTTCGCTCCATTCTCTCTACATGTCCGAACCACCTCAACAACCCTTCCTCAGCCCTATGGACAACAGTTTTGGTAATCCCGCACCTCCTCCTAACTTCCAAACTACGAATTCTCTGCATTATATTCACACCACACATTGCCATCAGACATGACATCTCCACTGCCTCCAGCCTTCTCCTCGCTGCAACATTCATCACCCATGCCTCACACCCATATAAGAGCGTTGGTAAAACTATACTCTCATACATTCCCCTCTTTGCCTCCAAGGACAAAGTTCTTTGTCTCCACAGACTCCTAAGTGCACCACTCACTCTTTTCCCCTCATCAATTCTATGATTCACCTCATCTTTCATAGACCCATCCGCTGACACGTCCACTCCCAAATATCTGAATACGTTCACCTCCTCCATACTCTCTCCCTCCAATCTGATATTCAATCTTTCATCACCTAATCTTTTTGTTATCCTTATAACCTTACTCTTTCCTGTATTCACCTTTAATTTTCTTCTTTTGCACACCCTACCAAATTCATCCACCAATCTCTGCAACTTCTCTTCAGAATCTCCCAAGAGCACAGTGTCATCAGCATATATATATATATATATATATATATATATATATATATATATATATATATATATATATTATATATATATATATATATATATATATATATATATATATACATATGTGTGTGTTGTGTGTGTGTGTGTGTGTGGTAAGAATCACTTAAAATTCATAACTACAATTATGTTTAAACCGCAGCAATAAAAATAGAAAAAGCTGAACATTTTCGTGTGTACATAAATACGTCTTCAGACGTAACAAGAATGAGAAAAATATGCTAATGTATAGGAACACGATGAGGAAGATGAGGAAGGGGAGGAGGGTGAGGAAGATGAGGAAGGTAATGATGGTGAGTAAATGAAGAATGTAAGGTGAGGAAAATGAGGTGCTTGCATAAAGACACTTGTTATTCTCCTCTGAGGAATTATTAACTGGTAAGTTGACTCTTATGTTCAGTCCCCATAAATGGAAGAATTATACGACATGATGACTGATGGCCTGGACCATGGTGGGTCAGTCAACCCTGTCTAGCAGTGGACCAGACCATGGTGGGTCAGTCAACCCTGTCTAGCAGTGGACCAGACCATGGTGGGTCAGTCAACCCCGTCTAGCAGTGGACCAGACCATGGTGGGTCAGTCAACCCTGTCTAGCAGTGGACCAGACCATGGTGGGTCAGTCAACCCTGTCTAGCAGTGGACCAAACCATGGTGGGTCAGTCAACCCCGTCTAGCAGTGGACCAGACCATGGTGGGTCAGTCAACCCTGTCTAGCAGTGGACCAGACCATGGTGGGTCAGTCAACCCCGTCTAGCAGTGGACCAGACCATGGTGGGTCAGTCAACCCCGTCTAGCAGTGGACCAGACCATGGTGGGTCAGTCAACCCCATCTAGTAGTGGACCAGACCATGGTGGGTCAGTCAACCCCATCTAGTAGTGGACCAGACCATGGTGGGTCAGTCAACCCTGTCTAGCAGTGGACCAGACCATGGTGGGTCAGTCAACCCCGTCTAGCAGTGGACCAGACCATGGTGGGTCAGTCAACCCTGTCTAGCAGTGGACCAGACCATGGTGGGTCAGTCAACCCCGTCTAGCAGTGGACCAGACCATGGTGGGTCAGTCAACCCCGTCTAGCAGTGGACCAGACCATGGTGGGTCAGTCAACCCCATCTAGTAGTGGACCAGACCATGGTGGGTCAGTCAACCCCATCTAGTAGTGGACCAGACCATGGTGGGTCAGTCAACCCCATCTAGTAGTGGACCAGACCATGGTGGGTCAGTCAACCCCGTCTAGCAGTGGACCAGACCATGGTGGGTCAGTCAACCCCATCTAGTAGTGGACCAGACCATGGTGGGTCAGTCAACCCCATCTAGTAGTGGACCAGACCATGGTGGGTCAGTCAACCCCGTCTAGCAGTGGACCAGACCATGGTGGGTCAGTCAACCCCATCTAGTAGTGGACCAGACCATGGTGGGTCAGTCAACCCCATCTAGTAGTGGACCAGACCATGGTGGGTCAGTCAACCCTGTCTAGCAGTGGACCAGACCATGGTGGGTCAGTCAACCCTGTCTAGCAGTGGACCAGACCAGCAAGGAACACTCGACCCAGTACTATGCTGCGTCACTGAAGAGTGACAGGTTTCACCAAGACAGTGATGGTTCACTGAAGAGTGACAGGTTTCACCAAGACAGTGATGGTTCACTGAAGAGTGACAGGTTTCACCAAGACAGTGATGGTTCACTGAAGAGTGACAAGTTTCACCAAGACAGTGATGGTTCACTGAAGAGTGACAGGTTTCACCAAGACAGTGATGGTAAACACTACATAAAGACAGAAACAATTTACGCTGAAGAGAATAGTTAACAAACTTGTGAAAATAGTAACTTAATAAAACAGTCAATGAATTATAGATAACCAACTAGAGAAAATACATTTGATTTTCAGTAGATAGTAATAAACTTACCAAAGTTTTTTAAAGTTCATGTAGGTTAATGATATTTCTGTCATATATTTTTTGGAAAAGTACAAAATAAGTTTTTATATGATAAACCTTTCTATTTTGGTCATGAAAAAAATTGAGGGGGGGGAGTAAATTATTCAGCTTATAAGTTGCAGATTATTATTATTATAATCAAGGGGGAAGCGCTAAACCCGGATGATTATACAGCGCCTGGGGGGGGGATGTGGAAGGCATTCAGGCTTAATTCGGGGAACTGGAGCACAGATCCAATTCCCTAAATCAAGAGCCCCTCACCAACATCAAGGAACCTTCCTTGAGGGGTATAAGTTGCAGAACATTGCTAAGAAAGCAACTATTGCAAATAATTACTCTCGAAATCGTAATGATACGACTGCAGACAACCCATCCCAGGGGTGAGGGTTGTAGCTGGTCCTGCGGCTAACGCGTCGGTCTGGAGTTTTGTGACTCTCTGCTCGCGGGTTCTAACCCCACCCACCCATGGTATGGTTTGATTGCAAATAATGCTTAATAAGAGAGGATAACACTTCGATATTATAATGAACAATGCTATAACAAGGAGGTAATTCTTTAATATTAATCCAGTCAACACGAGGATGTATGTTGCCAGGATGATGAAGGTGTTATAGACTCCTGAGTAACACTGATGTACTGTATTGCAGTTTCCCCTCAAGAGCAGAGAAATTCTCTCTCATGTCACACAGGAATCATCATTCTCGTAATGAACTGAGCAAACACCGCTAATGATATTCTCAGAGAGTTTTTTATCACTTTCCTTTTTGCACTGAGTTACTGATTATCAAAACAACTTAAGTCAACAATATTTGAGAGACTTGTGAGAGACGTATTATTGCTGAGGAATATAAACACATTTTCACTATATTTTTTTATTTAATTTCTATACAATATTTCTTACGTTCCAAGACGACGGTTCAAGCCGCGTCCATTCTTCTGTTTATTCATATATACATATGTGTATTTATATATTTATATATTCGTATATACATATATATAATGAACTCGATTCAAGTCGTAATGAATGACTCTAAATGAGTAAACAAAAACGTGGACGAAGTACTCGAACCTTGGTCCCGAGATTGACAGTTGCAGCACTTTACCGCTGGGCTACGGAACTTCTAAGTGTCTTGTCTGTGTCTGAGGACACTCTGACACAGTCCTCTTTTCTCACAGCCACACCAGCTTTTCCAGTCAATCTAATTTGTGTGTGTGTGTTAGTTAGTTACCATTTGGTCTTAGGCACATGTCGATTAGACACTAGGCCTGTTGTATGTGCATATGTGTGTGTGTGTGTGTGTGTGTGTGTGTGTGTGTGTGTGTGTGTGTCTCAGTAGTAGTAACCAGTTACCAGTAACCAGTGTACCAGTAGTTGACTCACTACCAACCGTCTCTGCCTGAGTCACTGTCTATTCATATTGTGCTGACCACAGCAGTATTCAAAGACCCCCTCACATATGGGTACTGTGGGCAGCCAGTCAGTGTTACGAGAGTGAGCAAGGAGACAAGGTTACGGCTGTTAGGGCGGTCCCCACATTATCCGTAATTATACGTACTTCCAGCCTACGTGAGTATTACTTTACCCTATACATTCTGTCCCTATCCACTTTGTCAATTTCTCTTAGTATTTTGTATCTAGTTATCATGTCCCCACTATCTCTCCTGTACTCCACTCTGGTCAGGTTGATTTCTTTAACTTCTCCTCTTAGAATATACCCCTTAACTCCGGGACTAGTCTTGTTGCAAACCTTTGCACTTTCTCTAATCCCTAAACACCCTTCACTATAAAGTACCCTGAATGTGCCTCTTAATATAATTATTGTAAGAAAATCATCCCACATCCACCAGGAATGCTGATAATTTCACACAGAACAACATAATCGATTAAAGATATGAGGACTTCATTTGATCAAACCCATTTTAGGGCAACATCGACCAAACTAAATGTTTACTATGTGTGTCAAGTGGTTTAAACCCTCGCCATTACCAAAACAAACCCTCCAGGAGGAGAGACTATTTTTACCACTGAGAATGAAGCTGAGACCCAGGTTGAGGGAGATGCTTTATTCGGATTATTAACGTTGAAGGTTAGTAACGTTGGGTAACCCAAGACAGTCAGTCAGCGAAGATGATTTTCATTGGATTCCTTAGGTCTTCTGCAGCATGATGCGACCCACAGTAGTCGGGTAACACCCAAGTACCTACTCACTGCTGGGTGAGCAGGGGCAATAGGTGTAGAGGGGCATACCCAATGTCTCAACCCGCCGCAGGATCGAACTAGGGACCATCAGTTGTGAGAAGCAGGTGCGACCACTGCAACAAATGGCAGAACAAGTTATTGATGCAATAACGTTTTTCTGAACAAAGATTTATTAACGACATGACCTGATACAGTTATACACAGAAATGTTGCCTCACGGGAAAAAAAGAGTGATCTGCAACCTGACTACTGTCTTCAATAATATGGCCAGTACCACGTTAACCTCCTACCTGGTGTATACCTGGAGAGGGTTTCGGGGGTCAACGCCCCCGCGTCCCGGTCTGAACCAGGCCTCACGGTGGATCAGGGTCTGATCAACCAGGCTGTTACTGCTGGCCGCACGCAAACTAACGTATGAACCGCAGCCCGGCTGATCAGGTACTGGTTAAAGGTGCCTGTCCAGCGCCTTCTTGAAGACAGCCAGGGGTCTATTGGTAATCCCCTTTATGTATACTGGGAGATCCAAACTCAGCCACAAACAGAAACAATCTTTGGACTCAGTCACTGCGTTTCTCACTAAACACATGAATTAAAATATTTCGTCATTACCTTCATTTAATTTATAATATATATATATATAATATATATATATATATATATATATATAATATATATATATATATCTATATATATATAAATATATATATAAATATATATATATATGATGCATGCAGGGGATGAGATGAAAAGCTGTAAGCCTTCTCCCTGAAAGCTGGCTGCCTTGGATCAAAGTCCAGCGCAAGCTGGACTCCAAGGTATTGGTCCAGTGTGGGTAGATTGGTAATGCACTGCGTACCTTGTTCCAAGATTCGTAGGTTCGAGTCTCCTTCAGCCAGAGATCAGTGTTTGTGTATATTTCGCCTGCTCTTGCGAATTCCTTGCATATATATATATATATATATATATATATATATATATATATATATATATATATATATATATATATATAATTTATATATATATAATATAATATGATGGGGCGCTGATCCACCATCAGGTCAGGTCATGGACTGGACCGCGGGGACATTGACCTCCCCGAAGCATCGTCCATGTGTACACGTGTGCGACCTTGTTTTCTAGATTAACCCCAAAAACTATTATAAAGTAAGTTGTCATTTACGGCATGTGTCAGTTATAAGTGTTGTTTCCCGGCATGCAACAGCCAGACCAGCCTCCTCATGATGGACTTCTTCCTTATCAGCTTCTCTCCCACTTCTCTCTCTCTCTCCTGACGACATAAATGGCTCTCAGCAAACCTCTTGAATAAGTCTCGCCAGTATAATAAGCACCTTCAGTGCCTGGTATAACCCAGCACACACTACACAGTATGGCAAATCACACAATGACTTGATGTCACAGTTACCTCTGAGATCATTAATTATTTAATTTGAGATCAAACATGCAAGCAGGTGTTGTTTAGAATGTATTAAACAGCATTACAGTAATTCCCTTTACAGCTCTTTGTTAATACGTACATTAATAATTATGCTAACACCGTGGAATTTGCGGGCATAACAGTTGTTGTGCCGCTTATTTTGGGTATACTGCAACGCTTCTTACCCATAACGCGGCCCACACCAGTTGGCTAACACCCGGGTACCTACTTACTTCCAGGTGAACAGGGGGGAAACAGGCATAATGAAAGATGCCCAGGTTTCCACCCGCCTCAGACTGGAACCTTATTCCTTATTTGAGCTGCGATTACTAAAATATTGCATCACATTTAAATTTTTGACAAATCCAACTTTCATCATGGACTTAACAGTGACAGATTATCAGATGGTGTGGGGACTGCTGGGGGCAGAGAGCCGGGCACTCGTCCACTCGACCCACTTAACCATCCAGGCGAGCAGTTAAGTAAACATTAGCGCCGTCACTGAGGGCCTAGTAGAGACAACAATTCCCTTAGGTAATACTTCGTTTTAAATGATATAAGTCATATTATTATAATCATGGGGGAACGCTAAACCCGTAGGATTATACAGCGCATGTGGGGGGGGGAGGCATTCAGGCTCAATTCAGGGAACTGGAGCGCAGATCCAATTCCCTAGATCAAGAGCCCCTCACCAGCATCAAGGAACCTCCCTTGAGGGGGTATAAGTCATAGAATTCATTTTAATGCTATTTTAGTGTCAAGACAACCGTGGCTCTGTTGGTAGCGCACTTACCTCACACATTGATTGTCCCTTGTTCGATCCCCAGTACAGGTGGAAACACTGGGCATGTTTTCTTATAAAACGTGTTGATCAGCAAGCAGGTACATGCTGGATGTTAGCCGACTGGTGTGGATCGCATCCTGGGGGACAAGATTAACCTAAGTTGACAGAAATGCTCTGCATAAGCAGAGGCTAAGTTTGTATAAGTTGTATCGTGTACTTGTAGAAATAAAGATTATTATTATTATTATTATTATTATTATTATTATTATTATTATTATTATTATTATTATTTTTATTATTATCAAAACATCCATGAACAGACTTCAGCCATAAGCGACTCATAGTTCGGTGGTAATGTTCAATCCATAACACAAAGAACAGTGTTCACCAAGCAGGAAAAGTGTAATTTTGGAGTTAGTTGACTATTATGGGTCTCCTATTAGAGAAGGACCTAAAGACCCTAAATTAAAAGAAGTTACAGTGGTCCATGGGTTATCCCTGGTTAATAATGTGAACAATCTTCACGTGAGGTGAACATTTAGCCCCGTGTGTCCCCAGATCGTAAGAAATTATTTCCACGTGACCTGAGTGACAGAGGTAATTACTGCCCACCATCCTGCCTCTGCTTTCTTTTTAATCTCAGGTCATCGGAGTCACACAGGTATTTCTTTTTTGTTCGGAAACCCAACTCGACCAGCTCTTTCCTCGTGATGAAAAAGGTAAAAAAAATAATATTCACCTAAGTAATGTTTGAAAGAGAGAGCAGTCATCAACAGTCATCATCAGTCATCAGCAGTCAGTCATCAGCAGTCAGTCATCAGCAGTCATCAGCAGTCAGTCATCAGCAGTCAGTCATCAGCAGTCATCAGCAGTCAGTCATCAGCAGTCAGTCATCAGCATCATCACATCAGTTTATCAGCAGTCTCAGCAGTCAGTCATCAGCAGTCAGTCATCAGCAGTCATCAGCAGTTTCAGTCCGGCTGTACTTTCTCTGTCATCAATCATTGTTCGTCTGACTGCCTTTACAAGATGTACTTAGAAAAAATAGAGAAATCATATTATTGGACAGCTCACAGATGGCTCTAACTGCACTCTGAATTCAACGAAGGTTGCTTAATGTAAGTACACACTTAGAAAACATGTTAATAACGAAGTTAATGTTTGATTTCAATTTTAAAATTAGGTATGGGACATCAGAAAGCAGACAACCATGAGCAGATGATGCTTGGTGTCAACAGGTAAAGGAAGGAGGAGCAGGGGACGAGAGAAGAACAAGAGAGCAAGGAACCAGAGAGGAACAACGAAGTAAGGGACCAGAGAGGAACAACGAAGTGAGGGACCAGAGAGGAACAACGAAGTAAAGGACCAGAGAGGAACAACGAAGTAAGGAACCAGAGAGGAACAACGAAGTAGGGACCAGAGGGGAAACAACGAAGAAAGGGAACCAGAGGGGAAACAACAAAGTAAGGGCCAGAGAGGAACACGAAGTAAAGACCAAGGGGAACAACGAAGAAAAGGGGACCAAGAAGAACAACGAAGTAATGACCAGATAGGAACATCGAAGTAAGAAACCAAGAGGAACAACGAAGAAAGGGGACCAGAGAAAACAACGAAGTAAGGCCAGAGAAGAACAACGAAGAAAAGGGACCAAAGGGGAGCAACGAAGTAAAGGACCAGAGAGAACAACGAAGTAAGGAACCAGAGAGGAAACAACGAAGTAAAGGACCAGAGAGAACAACGAATAAGGACCAGAGAGAACAACGAAGTAAGGAACCAGAGAGGAACAACGAAGTAAGGAACCAGAGAGGAACAACGAAGTAAAGGACCAGAGAGGAACAACGAAGTAAGGAACCAGAGAGGAACAACGAAGTAAGGAACCAGAGAGGAACAACGAAGTAAAGGACCAGAGAGGAACAACGAAGTAAGAACCAGAGGAACAACGAAGTAAGGACCAGAGAGGAACAACGAAGTAAGAACCAGAGAGGAACAACGAGTAATGGACCAGAGAGGAACAACGAAGTAAGGACCGGAGAGGAACAACGAAGTAAGGAACCAAGAGGAACAACGAGTAAGGAACGCGAGAGGAACAACGAAGTAAGGAACCAGAGAGGAACAACGAAGTAAGGAACCAGAGAGGAACAACGAAGTAAGGAACCAGAGAGGAACAACGAAGTAAGGAACCAGAGAGGAACAACGAAGTAAGGAACCAGAGAGGAACAACGAAGTAAAGGACCAGAGAGGAACAACGAAGTAAGGAACCAGAGAGGAACAACGAAGTAAGGAACCGAGAGGAACAACGAAGTAAGGAACCAGAGAGAACAACGAAGTAAAGGACCAGAGAGGAACAACGAAGTAAGGGACCAGAGAGGAACAACGAAGTAAGAAACCAGAGAGGAACAACGAAGTAAAGGACCAGAGAGGAACAACGAAGTAAGGGACCAGAGAGGAACAACGAAGTAAGGGACCAGAGAGGAACAACGAAGTAAGGAACCAGAGAGGAACAACGAAGTAAGGGACCAGAGAGGAACAACGAAGTAAGGGACCAGAGAGGAACAACGAAGTAAAGGACCAAGGAGGAACAACGAAGTAAGGACCAGAGAGGAACAACGAAGTAAGGACCAGAGAGGAACAACGAAGTAAGGAACCAGAGAGGAACAACGAAGTAAGGACCAAGAGGAACAACGAAGTAAGGACCAGAGAGGAACAACGAAGTAAAGGACCAGAGAGGAACAACGAAGTAAGGGACCAGAGAGGAACAACGAAGTAAAGGACCAGAGAGGAACAACGAAGTAAGGGACCAGAGAGGAACAACGAAGTAAAGGACCAGAGAGGAACAACGAAGTAAAGGACCAGAGAGGAACAACGAAGTAAGGACCAAGAGGAACAACGAAGTA